AAGGAAGATTACATTAAGGGATGCAATGCTTGTACTACACAACTGTAACAGACACCGTGAAATGACAGCTTCCAGCAAGTGCCTAGGGTGTCTTAGGTTCTCTCACTGACTCCCACACCACCTTTCCCACCCTCCCCTTCTCCCTTTCTACTTTCCATCCTTCACCCAAACCTATTCTTCACGTGTAATTATGGTGGGCTCTGAGAACTCTGCTACACCAAGGTTGACCTAGTGGTACCACTTTCCCTCTTACATCCTAGCTTTTCTACAGCGACAGCTATGAAACCCACTATTGCACAGAGAGAAATCTGATGTGCGTGCCAGCAAGGTATGGTGTCACTCAGAGGAGGGCACAGCTGCGAGTGAAGCAAGGGTATCGGGTTTCGACCTTGGGAATCTGTCCTAGGGAGGCGGGCCAAGTTCTTAAGCATACCTTTCGTTTGTTCAGCAAACTTCTATCAAGTGAGACCGTGTGCTCTGTGCTGGGGGGTTGGACAAGCAAAAGACATGCTTAAAGTGATAAGATTATCTGAAGGTGACCCAGGCCAGTTAGGTACTGGAAAAAAAAAATGGCTCCCCAAATTGTGCAATCTGAAGAGAAACCCAAGCTCTAGCATTGAAGGCAACTGTGTTTACAATTCAAAAGAGATACAATGTGCAATCTGTGTGTCATACATCCCTTGGAAGGATGCAGAGAATGTAAGGTCAAATGTATCATTGAAAGTATGAATATCGGGCTGGATAGTGGTGGCGATGCACACCTTTAATCCCAGCACTTGGGAGACAGAGGCAGGGAAATCTCTGTGAGTTCAAGGTCAGCCTGGTCTACAAGAGCTAGTCCCAGGACAGGCTCCATAGCTACAGAGAAACCCTGTCTCGAAAAACCAAAAAAATCAAACAAAACAAAAAATAAAAAATAAAACAAACAAAAAAAAACCCCAAGAATATCACACTAAACCTACAAATGGCTAATAATCAATTTGGATATAGATGTATCTATCCATACACATATACATCTTAGTTAGGGTTTCTATTGCTACCATGAAACACCATGACCAAAAGCAAGTTTGAGAGGAAAGGGTTTATTTGGCTCACCCTTCCATACACTGTTTATCATCGAAGGAATTCAGGACGGGAACTCGAACAGAGCAGGAACCTGGAAGACAGAGGCTGATGCAGAGGCCATGAAGGGTGCTGTTTATCGTCTTGTTCCCCATGACTTGCTCCACCTGCTTCCTTATGGAACTTAGGAGTACCAGCCCAGGGATGGCACCACCTACAATGGCCTGGGCTCTCCCTTATGCATCACTGATTAAGAAAATGCCTTACAGCCCCATCTTAATGAGGCCTTTTCTTAACTGAGGCTCCCTCCTCTCAGATGACTGTAGCTTGTGCCAAGTTGACATAAAACTACCCAGCACAATGTATTAGATTTCCGAACTGCATAAAAACACTCTACAATACACTCTACAACCACAGTGACATTGTCTACGAATACCCAAGGAATGGCAAAGAGCCGCATCAACAGGAAAGGGATCTAGAAGGTTTCCTTGGGGGTGGGAATGCAGTACAGCAATAGTGGCTTTATAGCTGGAGAGAGAAACTGGGCTTAGGGGAGAGCTGGAGGCTCTGAAAGGGGCTTTCGGAGCAGAGAATGGCCACTGTGGGGAGACCTTGGGGGACAGCAAGTTACTCGTGATGGCTGCGCGTGGAACCCCTGGGACAGGGCGGAGGGATGGAGAAGAGCCACTGAGATTCTGTGGAGGGAGTAGAACTGGAGCACTTAGGGTGAGCTTTTTCTCTTGAGGGATGGAGAGGGTCGGCACAAAAGCTTAACAGTTCTTACTCTTGTGAGTCCATTCGATGTTTGGGAAAATCACACTATTAGAGCAAGAGCAGATTCAGTACCCAAAATTCGGAAACCACTGCAGTTGTGATGGTACATGCCAACTGGTATGGCCTGGCATGAAGTCAATGCTTGCAAGACATGGCAACCTGTGGGTGAAGACAGCGATACAGTGGGGAAGGGTAAAGAGGAGGAGAAAAGGAAGGAGGGAGGGAGGGAAGAAGGGAGAGAGAGAGAGAGAGAGAGAGAGAGAGAGAACTGGGGGTAGAACCCAGAACTTAGAAATGCAGGGCTGGAGAGATGGCTCAGAGGTTAGGACGACTGACTGTTCTTCCAGAGGACCTGGGTTCTAATTCCCAGCACCCACATAGCAGCTTACAACTGTCTGATCTGACATCCTCACACAGACATACATGCAGGCAAAACACCAATATGCACAAACAATATAAATAAATGAGTTATAAAAATAAAAAATAAATGCAGAGTAAATCATGCATGGTGGGAGGATTGCCTTAAGTTCAAAGCCAGCCTGAGTTACATAGTGAGTTCAAGGCCAAGCCCGTGAGACAGTCTCCAAATAAATAGTATAAAAGAGGGCTGGGGATCTAGCCCAAGAGTGGGTCAGAGAGACAGCAAACGATGGAAGCAAGAAGACAGAAGGAGGCCCAAACAAATCCCAGAAGTTGATTAAGTAGGAGGTATATCCAATATCCTGCGTCGTCTAGTAAGTGGCCTGGAAAAGTCCCTCATGCATGCAGCAAGCCAGTCGACTCTGATTGGGTGCCTGGCATCATTAGCTGAGGAAAGGCAGAGGCATAGTAAGGTGTCTAAGCAAGCAGACCTGTCCCATCAGCGTCCACTGCTGCTGGTTTATGATATTTGGGATATTTGGCCATAATGGGAAGGATAGAGCAGGTCAGTACTATAGGGTATCATGGGCTGGATGGAAAAGGTTGTGGTTTAGCTGTATTTTTTTTTTTTTTTTTTTTTTTTGAGGAAGGGGAGGGTTGCCAGGTCTCTCACTCTTCAGCCAGGCTTGAACTTACTGATTGTCTAAGGCTGGCCTTGACCGTTTTGGTTTACCTCCTGCTTCAGCCTCCAGAGTATTGGACACAACCAGCTTGAGCCACCTCACCTGGCTCCATTGTGATCTTTCAAGCTGTAGCCAGCTGCTTGCTTTTACAAGTGCAACACAGGCTGCCTCAGGAGAAGGGAAAGAGGCTTGTGTATTCCCAAACACAAGCGCTTCTCAGAACAAGGCGCCAGATAAACAGACTAGAGAGGCCCTGCAGGAAAACCCCCCTTTCTGAAGCCCGCTAGGGGCTGCTCCTCGCATTAACTTCTTGTCTCCTCTCTGCCCCCTCCCTTTTTCTATTGTTCTTCTGACTGCTGCTGGCCTCTTGTGGTGGCTGAGTCAGTGCCAGGGTGCTGGTTAGTAAAATACCTGTGTTTGTTTGGGCTCTCCCAATGCAATGCTGTTCTCCAGTCTGTGTGGTCAGCTTCCCGCATCCAGTGTCTGAGGGAATAAAGCACCCATTCAAGCACAGTAGGAGAGGCAAGACAGTGTCCTTGCCCTCGTGGGCCTTAATAAGACCTGCCAAGACCATGGAATGATACCAGGGGTCATTAAGCTTGCCTGGACACATAAATGCATTTGGAAAGTTAAAAGGAAGTTCCCTTTCCTCGTGGACCAGTAACACATATAACAGAATGTAAAATGCACAGTCTTAGGGACTTCCTAAATTCTGAAAGCAATGAATGGTTTAAAGACTAGGTTCAGATCCTGCTGTCTGTCTTACACAGATTCTGTCAGGACCAAATGTGGTAACATGGGCTAGAAGCTCAGCAGAGTCGGTGGATACACAGTCAAGGAAGGGCCCACACATTCTGTGTCAGCTATGGGTTTGCTTGGGAGGTCAGAGTTGCAGGGAACTCCCTGCAGAGTTCTCTGGGTCGGATGTAATTACCGTGCTTTTCAATAGTTGACCAAAACACGCTGCAACCTTCAGAATTTCTGTCGTAGTTTGGCCTTTGGCCTCACCAGAACTATTACTTAGCTTTAAAACAAAGAAAAAGAAAAAAGAAAAACAAACTCCCCCCCCCCAAAAAAAAACAAAACTTGTTTCACCCCCATTAACTGCCTAACAAGGAGCCTTCAGATCCCATCACTTTCACTTGCCAGAAACAAAGAAAGCAAAAGTAACGATAAACAATGTACGCGAACAATGGAAACAATGTTTCCAGTCTACTTAGCCTCCAGGTGCTAGTGTGGCTGTCTCCGTGTGAGAAAAAAATGGAGTCTGGCTACTGGTTGAGAGAAAACGTTTATCTTTACAGCCAAAACTGAATCAGATGGTGTGCTTGTGGTGGTGGTGGTGGGGGGGGCAGGACGCGAAGACTACATTTTTGGCTGTGTCTCTCGAGCTGATTGGTGCTAAGCTGGGAGAGGTTCCCTTTGACAGACACCTGCCTAGAATAGATGCTTTCCTCTTCCAAATCCTCATCCACCAGGATAAGTTCTACTGATGTGCCCAGTGGCCTGGACAGCCAGCTGAATCTTGTCATTTGACCTCCTAGACGCGGACATTCCGAGATCCGACTCCTGGCTTCCTTGCTGACTAGGGCTCATTCCATGCCTCCCACCGGGATGGGTATGGGGTTGGAATGGGGGCTCTTCTGGATATCTAGCTGGAGCCGTCGGAGCCCCAAGCGGTCCTCAGGTGGCGTGAATTCGAGACTGGAATTAGGTTTCGGAGGGGGTGTGCCTGTAGTTACCGCTGCCCCGTGGATTTAACACTCAAAATGAACACTATAAGCGAAAGCTACATCGCTGCCCGTTGTCCTCTTAAATTCAAACAGTTATCCAGCTGCTAACTAGGAAGGACCTTGCTAGCATCGTGGGGGGTGGGTACTGTCGGGATTCCGTCCGCTCAGGTGGAGCGGGGTGTGCACTGACCCTTGCTCTGTTCCCCGACCTTCCTCGAACGCCCCGGGCCCTCTCAAGGCCACCGAACCCTCTAAGTCCCCGGGACCCTGCAGAGGACGCGGCACTGGGCATGCTCGGGCGGCTGCGGGGCCGGGCGGGTCGCCGCGCCTCCACCTGGCTGGCCCGCCCCCCACGAGCCGGTCGCACAGCACCTGGCGGCGCCCTGCAGGGGGAGGAGACGGCACGGGGCGGCGCTGCGCGTTCTCGAGCGGCGGCCCAACTTTTCCCCCCCCCCCATTTCCTCCCGGGGGTGAAGTTCCTGGATTAGGGGGTGAAGACACGCGGAGACGGGCGCAGAGCCGAGTTCCTGGAAGGAGAGGAGCGCGCGGGTCCCCACAGCATGGCCTGCTCGGGCACCTCGTCCCCTGTGGGCATGGGGAGCCCTGATCCTGAGCAGGTGAGCGCCCCCACCTGTGGCTGCGCCCCCACCCCCCCCAACCTCCGCAGCGATGATGGGCTGGGGTTGTGATCCCGGGAGACCAGGAGACACAGGGACGATGCGGGAGCCCTGTGTTCCTGCTGGGGGTCGGGGGGCGTCTGAGAGGTGCTCGTTGCTCCCAGACCGTGGAACGAGGTTTTGGCTCCTTTTGGGAGCGCGAGCTCTTAGCCGGCGCCGCAGCTCCGGCGTCCCCAGGGAGGAGGGAGGCCAGGACCTGGGGCTTTTACTCCGAACATTTGCGCTGAAAAAGCAACTCGGGGAGTGGGGCTCCGGGCGGGCCCAGCTGCGTCTGGCGTCTTTGGGTTTCGTGCTCACCGCCATGCCGAACTGGCCTGATTACGCGGCCCGGGTCCGCTGCACCTTTAATGGGGAAGTCACCTGGCTGGGAAAGTTAACTGGGTTTTCTTTCTTTTTTCCTCTTTGAAGGTGAGTCGAGAGACTTAGTAGGGAACGGAGGGGCAAGGCAGTGTGCTTTCGAAATTAGGGCATAAAAATGCAGAGCCTCAGGTACGGCAGCAGTGCCAAGGGGGCGGCTCGAGGTGGGTTCTCCCCCGCCCCCCATCTCTGGCATCCGAGAGCAACTTGCGCCAAGAAAAAAAAAGAAAAAAAAATCCAGGTGCTTGTGGAACACGACGGTAGCTTCCCGTCTTTTTGCTGAGGCCCCACAGCCGGGACACCTCTAAGGCCCGAGGCTGTCAGCATTGTAGGCACAGAGTAGGGTAACGAGGGTGCGTGAAAGGCACCCCGAAGCGGACCCAAGAAACCACAGCTATCTGGGAGGGGAGGAGAGTGGGAGCTGGGCGCGCGAGGGGGGGAGGGGGCGTGTCAGGAGGAGGAAAATACCTCTTTCGCTCGCTTTTTGAGACTAAAAAGAAATCTGTGTATTCATGATCTACTTCAGGAAAACGACAAATACTACATTTTTAAAAGTACTTCTTGGAGCAGGCTCGAAACCTTGGTGTACCTAGCTTCACGTCTGTTAGCCGATTCCTTCAGTTTCTCGCCCCCCCCCCCGCCCCGCGCGTCCCCGACGCTCCCGGGAATCTAGAACGCTTAAAAAGACGCTTCAATCTTCACAAAAGTGTCGCGCGCATTTTCTTGCAATCTGATTCTGAGTTTTGATTTTGTTTGTTGCAGAGTAGGTGTGGCCTGTCTAAATTTGGAAGTGGTCACGTTCTCATAGAAGCTGTGTCCTATCTCCCTAGGGTGGTTACATCGGCTCTTATAGCAGGAGGTGACCAGTCCAAGTAGGCTTCAGAGTAGGGAGCGTGAGGGAAGCGGACTCAGGGTGAAGGCAGACTGCTGCCCCAGCACTTCAGGACTCTGCAGAATCTGCTGACCTGGGCTCAAGCCATTCACTGCGCCTTTAAGGAAGCACATGTTCTATGCAGGAGGGGAATGCAAAGTTAAACTACGTCTGAAACGTTACCATCCTGGCACCTCCATCCACTCACGTGTAGAGAGCCAGGTTCTCTTTATCCAATCAGCTTCGGGTGAAGAAATGAGCTGTGTCTGGGTTGTGGTGACCGTTCATTTGTGGATCTTTTTCGTTAAGACTCAAAGAAATGCATTTCCTAATCCATGCATTGTGTATTAGCAGAGACAGGTCCTCTGTTTGGGATCCAGGGAAACGCCGAGTTCTGAGTCTGTTTACATTTCTGTGGGGTGGCTCTATCAGCATTGTGGTTTTTCTTTATTCAGTACCTGCCTGTATTTCCTTTCACGGTGACTGTCGCGTTCACCCTCGACCAGCAAGGAAAACGCAACACCCGGAGCTCTTCTTGCAGCAGTTTTCAGGACTTTATTCACAACAATCTATCTCCTTCTCTGTCTCTGTCTCTGTCTCTGTCTCTGTCTCTCTCTCTCTCTCTCTCTCTCTCTCTCTCTCTCTCTCTCCCTCTCTCCCCCTCTCCCCCCCTCTCTCCTCTCTCTCCTCTCTCTCCTCTCTCTCCTCTCTCTCCTCTCTCTCCCTCTCTCTCCCTCTCTCTCCCTCTCCCTGTCTCTCCTCTCTCCCTGGGCAAATGTCTCCCAGCCCTTAAGTAGGCATGGGCTACCAACCCCGAACTGCCAGGTGGGCACTGCCCATAGATTCACGCATATGCAGACAGCTGATAATCATTGCATGATCATAGCATAGGTCAGGCCTTAGCCATCTCAGGAGTTGATTATACATCTCCATCAGGTGTGACACCACGCCGCTCGCTACAGGTGACTAGTGAGCTCATTGGGCCTGTGAGTTCTGAGAACTGAGAAGAATATGATTGTGTTGTGTCTAGGTGCTTTCCCCCATAGAGATCACCTGTAATTGGGCAGCTATTCAAGACAACCCACTAAACAATCTTTTCTGTGTGTGTCTGTGTGCTGGCCCGAGGATAACCTCTGATGCTGGTTCCTTGTCCTCCACCTTGTCTGCGACAGGATTGTTGTGGTGTATACCAGGTTGGTTGCCCCAGAGTTTAAGGGCATTCTCCTGTCTCCACCTCCCATCTGATCTTAGAGCTGGGGTAACAGATGTTCATTCACTATGTCTAGCTTTACCTATGCCCCTGGGATCTGAACTCAGCTCAGGACTGCACAGCCAGCATTTTACCAAACCAGCCATCTTCTCAGGCTTCAAATGATCCATTTTGATGCCCAACTTGTACGTACCTCTCATACATCATGTCAATGCAATTGTGGGACATGCTACACTCTCAATTGGAGATCATGAGACATTGTAGCCTATAAATGATATTTGTATTCATTTGAATAAACTGGTGGACATTGATGAAAATGACTGCCTGGTTCTTTTACATGAGAGTAATTCTCAGCTAGATCAAATATGCTCGGATGGTCAGCCTTGCTACAGTTTCCCCGAACTCCTTCTACCTAAATTTTAGCCATTTGAAAAGAGCAAGTTTACTGATGACCTTGGCCAGGCCTGATGTGACCTTCCCCATGGGTGTTACCTGGGCTGTTCCTGTGTTTCTGATTTTGGCTCTTCCCAGTGTGAATGCCAGTGACAGGCTGGTTTAACACTAAGGGACCCAGAACAACGGGGCTTTTTAATTGCAGCTTTTCCTGTTTATCCAATATCAAGTGGAAGCCCTTTTCACATATTAAATTACATTCTATCTATTTTATAGACCCCTCCTCTTCCACCCCAAGGCTAGGTCATGCAGGCTTTGGATCCCAGACTAAACTTGAACTTGTTTTTCTCCTCAGCCTCCTGAGAGCTGGGACTGTGAAAATATGTGTATCCCATGGCTAGCATTATACGGTTTTTAATTTTTTTATGATATTGTCTACTTTCTAGTAGACCTTTTTTTTCTTTCCCACATTGGGGATCAAACTCAGGGTCTTGCACGTGCTAGCTCTGAGCTCTACAGCACTTTTGGCGCCATCCTAGGAATGTTGAAACCCAGCTAGTTATTAGTTGGAGACCAAAGTATTATTAGAATCAAGGGGAGCCTCTCTTTGAGGGTACTGTATATTTTTTTCTGACTGGACTCTAAAAGACATGGGTACCATCTCAGGAATCCTCAGTTCTGCTTGAAGCCACCTTGGACACTTGCCTCAGCACGCGGGAGTGTGGGCAGACTCTTCCAAGGGATTCATCTATCACAGGGAATCAGTCAGGCTCTTGTTAACCAGGCAAGCGTGGTGGAGATATGACATTATAAGCAATTCTTTGATGTTTGTAAGGAATTAACTCTTAGTTTCCTGTTGGAGACATACCACAGGGATTACTTTCCAAATGTCTTAGGATGGGCAAGAAATAACCAACCAATGAAATTTATGTTTTTAGTTCTGACTAGGTAGTATTTGTCTCAAAATAAACTGTCACCACCACCTGGTAGAATCTGCTAACAATCCCAGATGGCATGGCCTTTAAGACAAGAAGTAAGCTTTCTGTCATGCCTTTGACCAGACAGACTCTCACTACTTCCAGATAATTCTAAGGCAAGTAGGCTCCTGGAAAGCCAGTGTGAGCATGCACTTTGGACTTGACCTGCAGGAGAAAGAGGCAGAACCAGAGTTAATTCGGGTGCTGTTGCAGACTGAAGAATGTGGGCTGCTTTGGAAATACTGTTTCCAAGATAGCTGTTGTGACTCACCGGCAGCTGGGTTGCCCCTTTAACACTTTAACACCCAGCACAATTCTTGTACTGGGCCCTTCTCTTTACCTTTAAAGAAGGTACAGCTAGGGGTAAAATCGGTTCAAAATTCAATCCTGGGTAAAATCCGGTCATGTATGGTACGTCCATTTGTTTTGATAATTTAGTACTAGTTAAGAGCCAGAAATGTCATCAATCCTTAATAAAACAATCGATTAAGTAAATGAGGGGGTGATAAAAGAGGAAACCTGTCTTGTTTCCTTCATGTCCCCCCATTTTTCCTTCCTTCCTTCCTTCCTTCCTTCCTTCCTTCCTTCCTTCCTTCCTTCCTGTTGTTTTTCTTTCTTTTTTATATTTATTTATTTATTATATAATATTCTGTCTACATGTATGCCTGCAGGCCAGAAGAGGGCACCAGACCTCATTACAGATGGTTGTGAGCCACCATGTGGTTGCTGGGAATTGAACTCAGGACCTTTGGAAGAGCAGGCAATGCTCTTAACCACTGAGCCATCTCTCCAGCCCCTTCCTGTTGTTTTTCGAGTCAGGGTTTCTCTGTGTAGCTTTTGGAGTCTGTCCTGGAATTCGCACTGTAGACCAGGCTGCTGTTGAACTCACAGAAATCTGCCTGCCTCTGCCTCCTGAGATTAAAGGTGCTCGCCACCACCACCCTATCCCTGATTCTTTTTCAAGTCTCTTCATTCTTAGCTCTCTGGGAGAGAGTTTCATTTTTAAAGCCCCTTGTCTTTTTGTTGTTGTTTCTCTCTTCCTTTCCTTCCCCTCTCCTCTCTGGTGGGAGGGGTGGGCAGGATAGAAATCATCCTTGTAAGAACAAAAGGGTGCGGGAATCTGACTGCGCAC